TGTAGACTTTTCTAACAAAATTGAGATATCATTTTGTGAGGAATTCAGTCTATTTGATGTGTCTTGCTTTTCCTTAGAGTTTTTATTTTTGGATCCTTTAGGTCTACCACGCTTTCTCGGTTCGGCTGGCTTCTAGGTCTTCCACGCTTACGCTCAGTTTGGCTTTTATTACCAGCAGTAAGGTCACTTTGGTTATTTAGCATCTTTCCAGGTTCTCTGCCGTTGCAGCTTAGATAGTTCAGTTTAGATCCATCGTGTTTTAGGTGAAGAAGTACGGCTCCAATGTAAGAGCTCCAACGGGACGTCCTCCCCGCATGAGCGCCATAATAATAATGATATATGGATTGAATATATAGTTGTAATACAATATTATATAAACTCAATTCAAAGAAGGCATATATGCATTTTCTGATAACCATTTCGAGCCTCCTTAAAAGAAATAACAAAAGCTTTCGCACTGAAGAATTGGACTAGGATTTTGCATTTGTGAAGTTTCAAGCTTGCTAGATGCCATTTCAAGACGATTTTGCATCGAAAATAGTCTCGCCTTCCTCACCCGTCCAGCTCGATGGAATTCAGTACAGTTTCAACTTGAAACCAGCTCAAATACTGGCTTTTTTCCACATTAGCCTGCAAAAGGTATTTTTATGTTTATGTGACAATGTTTTTAATGGTCAAATTCGAATAAATTCACTTTAAAATGGAGTAAATCATGTTTTTTTATCAGTAAAAATGACAAAGTACAAGTTTTGAAAATGAAATTTGTTTTGCTTCAAGTTTTTGAATTCTTTTGTACAAACGAAAGCCTAATATGTTATAAACTGGTGCTTTTTTGTTGTTGCTAGCTTTGATGGTAAGATAATTGTTTGTCAAGAAGAAAATAAAAAGACTTAGTATGCATTGGTGATGTTTTGCTTACATGTCGTTTTTATCGTTAGCTCCTTGTCTAGCCTTGTCAGTTTTGGCTTCAATTTTTCTCGTTCAATTTGGATAAATTTGCACTCGTTTGTTTTTCAAAGAGCCAAATTGCGTTCGGCCTACGGCCTCACGCAATTATGGCCTCTTTGAAAAACAAACTCGTGCAAATTAATTCCAAATTGAACTCGAAACCATCTTATTACCTATACAAATCACAGCATTTTTAATTCTTAATCGCACTCCTTTGAGGAGCCAATCACAATGCAAAACAAGTAAAAGGCAACCAATCACAATACAGCAGAATACAGGATTGTGTGTGGTTAACCTGAGGTTAACCAATCAAACTACAGCAAAAAGGACACACAAAAAGTACATTTTTAGGTTTTACAGCAAATATTTTTATGAAAATATAAGCTTATGTGCAAATTGGATTATTTTAGTTCTTATTTACAGTTTTAGATGACAATGTACTATCTCAGTGTAATTTTTCATCATTTGCTACTTCTAAATCCTGACGAAAGTGTTATTTACAGTCCAAAACTGTCAGAAATGTTCAGCAAGGGATGCAAGTTCTTGCAGCTCAGTTTGCAACTGCAACACAAACAATTGAAGCCCGTCTATGAATTAAGATTTCCAGGGCTTATAAATTATGCAGACATCCTTAGGCTTCAGGTCACTAATAAGAACAAAGACAGCAACAAAACTTTGGAAAATGTGGATGAATGTCCTCGTTCACGAGCCGCCATCTTGATTGTCAAGCAAGTAAAACTTTGACAACATTTTATACCAGTTCTATGCTAGAGTAAGACAGTAAGACAGATCCAAATGTCCTTTGACCGCTCTTTGAAGGAGAAAGGCACCAACGTAAGGATTGTGAAGGCGAGGAAATTCTTAACCCTAAAGCTACCAAGGGCCGATCTAATCGGCCCGCGCGACAAATGCGTAGTCTTGCCAAGGTCCGATTAGATCGGCCCACTTGAGCCATCGCTTTTGATTGGTCAAAAACCCATGTTCTTTTGTTTTCTCGACGAATCAAAAGCTTTGTTTGTATTGTTTATATTTTATTTTATTTTTTTGTGTTAAAACAAACCATCATGGAATCGAGGCATCGTATTTTTGAAGTCAAACCGAAGTGAAACACATCGATCGTTTTGTGGCAGAAGTACATAACCAGAAGTGTCCATCTCCCCAATAATATCGCCACCATCAGATGTCCCGATAATCTATTTTTAGACAACCAATCACAACGCTCGCACATATTACACGGCACCTGATTGGTTCTTGTTGATCTACTTCAAGAGCGGACAAGAAAGGAAAAAATTATTTAGTCGATGGAGGCGAACGAATTGAAGTTCGCATTTACGAGAATTTTAAACCTTTTGCTGAACAACCATTTCTGAATTTGATAGAAAACATACTTTACTATTTGAGCAATATAGCGAAAGTATTTCAAGAGCAATATGGTCTGCGAAAACAGGGAAAAAGTTCAGACAAAGATGAAAAAGATGCAGACAAAAGGAGTGCGAAGAAATGTCTGCAAAAATTTGATTTTTGTGGCGAGAATTGTTGTCGTTTTAATAAGAAATCTGTTTTAATAGAATTAAAAAGCCCTTAGACTATACAAAGAATTGTAGTAAAGGTATTTTAGGATCTAAATAGCTTCATAAAAAGGGGAAACTAATACAAAACGATACCCGGGTGCGAAAAATGTCACAAAAAGCCAATCAAAAACTCTTTTAGCAAAATGATGTTCAAAGTTCATATTATATATAACTCTTCATTGTGTAAGGAGTTTAAAAATGATTGTTTTTTGAAAGAAAAAGCGAGGAATAAACAAACTAGCGAATAGGTAACGAAATCATGTCGAATTTTAAGCTAACAATAAACAAGATAAGTTATGAAAAGCCACAAGCAAGAAAAGTCATCAAAGAAATATCGATAACTAACTTGAATTTCAAAACAAACCCCGCCTACCTGAAAATTTACAGCTTTTCCATCTCACGTTAACAGTCGAAAATTACTTTACCTTTGGCTTTGTTTAAGTCCAGCTTTATTTGACTGTAAGGAAGCTACTTTACAGCATGCACTTTTCTTAGCATGCTGTTTTACATTTTTCTTCGTCTTTGTCTGAATTTTTCCCTTGTTTTCGCAGACTATATTGCTCTTGAACTGCCTTCGCTACATTGACTCATATAGTAAAGTACGTTTTCTATCAAATTAACTTACTTAAGGTTACCCCGGACACTACCGGGAGGTAGTGTCCGGGCGATTTAATAGGAAACCCGCAAAAATTATACATTTTCTGAGAAACAAAATGACAAAGAATCCATATCTGGACGTATTTTTTGATTTTAAAAGACATCAAGGACTTGACGAGAACACAGTGTCACCGCTCGAGAGATTCGTTTGCAGAAAGTTTTACTTAGAAAGATAAACTTTTTTGATAATCCTGTTACCAAGGCATTGTTCTGCAAAAGTGTGTCTGCGTTTGGCTTTTCAACGCTTCGTTATTTTTTTATTCGATTTTAAAGTTAGACTAGGCCCTATTTTACCTCATCCCTCACAAAACTGTTTATTTCTCGACAAAGAAAACTTAAAAAGAAAAACGCAGACACACTTTGAAAATTCGGTAATGTCCGAATCGACATGCAAAATTTAGAGGAAATTCGTCTGATAAGTTCTGCAAACGAACCGTTTGAATTTTAGTATTTTATCGAAATCTACTTTTACGAAACATGAAGTTGAAGTTTAATGGGATTAAAGGATTAGGGATCAAGTGTTGACAAGCGTACTCGTTCGGTAGCCAATAAGCATAAGGAAGAAATACGATACAAGAACTGTGGGAGAGCATATTCAGCGAACGTGACCTTGTTGTTTGACCTTCTTTGCGGACTGTGCAGCGAATAGTAATAATTTTCAGTAAGTTTTCTCAAAATGGTGAATCCCAAAGGCCTTGGCAAAGGATATTTTCAAGTATACAGTGGAATAAATATCGCTTTGGTCTTTATATCGCTTGATGTGAAGTTTGTGATATTATGTGACCCCGTCGTGCTTTGATAGCGTGACTATTAATTCGCCAAGACTTACGATGACAGCCGCAGTCAGCAGTAAAACACGTTTCAGAGAACCTCAAAACGTTTTTTGTTTATAACTAGTTTAGAAAAAAATACATCGGCATAAACTTAAGTCAAAGTTGTAGAYATACTTCTTTTAATTCGCTCAGACTAATTTAAAAATTTTGAAAGATTTGACGAAAATAGTGTCCGGGGTAACCTTAACCTTTGATTTTGTTTAAGTCCGACTCTATTTGACTGTAAGAAAGCTACTTTAGACTACTTTTTTCGCACGCTGTTTACATTTTTCTTCGTCTTTGTCTGAACTTTTCCCTTGTTTTCGCAGACCATATTGCTCTTGAACTTCCTTTGCTACATTGCTCATATAGTAAAGTATGTTTTCTATCGAATTCAAAAATGGTTGTTCAGCAAAAGGTGTAAAATTCTCGTAAATGCGAACTTCAATTCGTTCGCCTCCATCGACTAAATAATTTTCCTTTCTTGTCCGCTCTTGAAGTAGATCAACAAGGACCAATCAGGTGCCGTGTAATATGTGCGCGCGTTGTGATTGGTTGTCTAAAAATAGATTATCGGGACATCTGATGGTGGCGATATTATTGGGGAGATGGACACTTCTGGTTATGTACTTCTGTTTGTGGTGAGTTTTCGAGCAAATCGCGCGGATTTTCTAATAAATATGGAGGATTTTCGCATGATTCTTGTTGTCTAATTAGTTGAAAATATGTAGTTTTTAGATGTCTGATCCAGATTAAAGAAACGGCGATGAAAACAGCGATATTTTAGCGATAATTCTGAGTATTACATGGAACATGTTTACTATGGTTAAAGTTCCGATGTTTCTGATACAAAATCACAATTTAGGTATTTGATTAGAAATTTAGAGAAGAAAAAAACAAAAAATTATTAACTAGCAATGGAACATTTACCAGTAATAGAATGTTATGTAGTGTTTAAAAAACGAGCAGGAGTGCTTTATCGGGAGATATAGACACGTAAATATACTACTTGTACTACTGCCTCAAACTGCTACTACTACAGTTACTACTAGTGCTTCTCCCTATGGTAATGCACAAATTATTTTAATTAGGTCTGATTTCCATTTGATCAATAAATTAATACTGTCTTAGACTTTGTTTTGCCTGATATATAGTCAAATCTGCTTCCTTGCAAGCTGGAAATTTTAACAAGAGTTTCTCTACAAGCATAACTTCTGTTATTGAAGGAATGGGAAGGTGAATGTGATTGTTAGAGGCTAGTTGTGAAAATATATATAATTAGATTCTTTGTAAACTGTACACAATCTTAACATCCATTTGACATAATCCTTTACAATGAATCTGACAGCTAAAATCAAAATAAGCCAAATTTGCACCTCTTTCAGTCTTACTGGATTAACACCCATTTATTTTTGAAGCCACATACTTTTTTTGAAGAACGTCCATCACAAAGTGCAGTGGCATTGATCGCATAATTAGTTGGAAATTATATTTTTGCTTGCTGTTATTCATGAGTATTGTCAGTATTGTATTGCATTAGATATTTTATGAATCTAATTATCATATATCTTTTTAGTACTTAATCAAAATCCTTTTTGCAATTAATTGACATATACTACAATAATGAATTGTAATAAACATATAAATACTTACAGTACACTATAAGTGTTTTGGAACATGTCTTTCTTTCAAAAGAATTCGTAGCAATACATGTTACCATGGAACCATTAAGACTTCTAGTTGCCACAAAGGTGGTCGTTGGTCCTTGAGACACTTTGTTATTTACAGTCCATGTATAACTTACAGCTGGGATACCAATTGCTGAGCAGTTTAGGGCTACATTATCACCATCGTTGACAGTGTGAATTTTTGGTCCACAAATAGCATCCATTAGGTCTGTAAATAAATTCATGATAAAAACAAACTTAGAAAAATAGTACTCAAAAAAAATTAGACAGTACCTATAAAAACTAAAAGTGCGCAACTAAAAGTGAGTAGCTGCTTTTAGGATTTCATTTAATTCCTCTTTAGTTATAAGTGATGTCTATTATTTTGTAAGATTCCTGTTGGAGAAAGAAAAATGTAGACACACCAAAGTTTATATTTGTTTGTATAAACTGTCTTCTTTTCTATTGAAAGTGAAGGCCACACACAGTCATTGTTATGCACGTCATGACTTTATGTTGAATACAGGTTCTAATGTAGTGCCATCTCATTTACTACATCCAGGCATATATTTACTGGTATATGTGTTAGTACATGAATATATCACAACAAATATTATGTTAAGGGGTAGACACTACTTACTATAGACAGAGTAAAAAAATAGCAACTTTCTTTAAAACTCTCTTATTCAATGAAATATTAGAGTAATGATCTATCAGAATGGCTTTCAGATTAGATCCAACTCAACATAGGACACCTACTCAGCAGGCTTTAATCACTACTGGACAAATGTTGATGGTAATTGAATATTACATCATTATCACACCAACAAATTCAGACAAATATATGTACACCATGGACAATATTGGGCACATTAATTTGTACTTACAGTTAACTTGTAATGCGACATTGATGCTTTCTCTCCCAATAGAATTGATGGCAGTACATGTGTACATCCCAGCATCATCTAAGGTAGCATTACTGATAACAATGGTACTATTGATTGAACTGTGTAGCTGTTTGCCTTTAAAGCTCCAAACATAATCAGGCTGTGGGTTTCCAGTGGCATTACATGTGATGTTGACTGGTTGTCCTTTATTGACATACAAGACACCACCTTGTGCATTGATAACTGTGAGCTGGTCTGGTTTGTCTATTAATTATTATACTAACTTTAAATCAAACAATGGCATCTTTCATTGAAAAAGAAATATAACGGATAAAAATGTAAATAGATTTAAGGTAAAAACAAATTCAGGAAAAATAGCATGTTGAAAGAATCATTTTTTTAGCTGCTTCAGAATTTCATTCAATAACATTATTGTTTCAATGTTCGCAAGTTGGTGGCGTAGATGAACTGCTTTATTCAGACTAAAGTATTCAATTACAATGACGTAATAAAGCAATATTGTAACATCTCCCCTTTTATATGAGCATAAGTATATGCCTAAATATACTGCTAATTGGGATTTAAATCAGTGGGCGTTTCTCAATTTCAAAGATTTAAATGTTCAATAATGTTCCTACAAGAAATTAAATCATTTCTCTAAAGAATCAATGTTCAAAGATAATATATATGATAAAAAGAATCAATTTTTTTTAATTGCTGAACCGTAACGTTTGTTGCTGTTATTGTTGTCTGTTTAGACGAAGAGATCTGGTTTCTTGATCACTCTCTGACTTCTCCTGAGCACAGCTTCCGTAGGCTGTGGTAGTTGGTCTGGCGTTGGTTGTGATGTTTCTTTAGCCGGTTGTTCAGGCTTAGGTTGTTCAGGATTAAGGGCCTCCCTGTTCCTGCGTAACGACTCCCCATTAGTTTCAACCATGTATGAACGATCCGATAGTTTCTCTCTGCAGATAGCGGTGTCCCACGGCTTTCCTCTTTGCGTTGGCGAGACTCTCACTTCCTGACCTATGTGGAGATCTGGTAAGATCTTGGTATTCTTATCGTAGTGGCTTTTAGCTTTCTGTCTTTTCAGCTCTATTTTCGTCATCACACCGTCTTGTACTTCAGGATGTAATAGGCTAGTCGCTATTGGCACGAGGGTTTTTGTTCTTCTAGACATCAAGCGCTGTACAGGGCTAGTCTGCATTCCCTGCATTGGTGTATTTCGATAGTCCAAGAGAGCTAACCATGGGTCTTTGTGGTCTCTAAATGCTTTCCTAAAGAGGCTTTTAGCTGTTTTTACTGCTGATTCTGCTTTTCCATTCGCCTTTGGGTGGTAGGGAGAAGAAGAAACATGTTTAAACTCCCATTCTTTGGTGAATTGGTCGAACTCGTGGCTGACGTATTGCGGGCCGTTATCAGATACCAGTACATCGGGTATTCCATGGCGGCTAAACTGAACCTTTAGGAAGTTTATGATAGACTTTGAGGTAGTATCCTTGAGTGGGCTGACTTCTATGTAGTCGGATTAGTAGTCAACGAGTACTATATAGTCTTTAGACTGGAGATTAAAAAGATCGGTAGCTACTCGGCTCCACGGTCTGTCTGGTATTTCGTGTGACTGCATTGGCATGCTATAGGGTTGTTTCGTTTAAACTCCGAGCATATTTGACATGAGCTAACTGCAGTCTTTATGTCGTTGTTCGTTGTTCATTGTCGATCACGTGCTTTTCTCAGGCAGGCTTCAATTCCTTGGTGGCTTGAATGTAGTCTTCCGATGACTTCTGTTCTAAGGGCTTGAGGCACGATGATGCGTTGGTTCTTGAACAACACCCCGTTTTGGACAGTCAACTCTTCTCGGAAGTTCCAGTAGTCACGGACTGGTAATGGCGCTTTGTCGCGTTCGTTGGGCCATCCAACAAGTATCGTATTCTTGAGCGATTGCATTGTAGGATCTTGCTCTGTGGCTTTTTGTAGTTGAGCTAGTCTTTCGCTCGTGATCTTCACATTGTTGAGGAGATTGATTTCTTCGAGTTCTAGTGCAAGTACTTGAAACTCGTCATCAGGTTCTCCTTGGTCTGCAAGGTATGCTCGTGATAG